CGGGCGGACGGGTCCGACTCGCGCTGCAGAGACACGGGTAGGTGAGACGGTAGGTAGGTGAGTAGATATAACGCAGGTACGTATATGTACTGGAGGCAGGTGAGGCATGGCATTATAGATCATTCTATTATGTTTTATAATGTGGTTATATATTGTATATACACTATAACTGTAATGATAGATAGACATCTATACACAGCTACAACAATGGATAGATAGATAGATAGATAGATTATAACTACTTACCTATGTTATCCATATCTAATGGGGAAATCATTGGTATTGATTTCCCTATATACCTAGGGTACCTAGGTATAGGTATAGCATGAGATATGCCTATATTATCTAAATCTAATAGGAATATCATTGGATATAGGTAGGTAGATACCTACAGTATCTATATCTACATCTCATTGGATAGATCTATCTAATGGATATATCATATGACATACGTATATCATTGGATATGTCTATATTAGCTGTTGGATAGACCCATATTATTGATATGTACTAGGGATATAATTGGATATACCTGCATTATCTACATTTATTGGATACACTTATATTATCTATATTTAGTAGGTATATCATTTGATGTAGGTATGTTATTGAGTATGTCTATGATTTATATCTCATTGGATAGACCTATACAATCTATAATTCTATATCTAATAAGGGATTTAATTGGATATAGGTATATCATTGGATATACCTACATTATGTACATCTAAATCTCATTGGATATATCTATATTATATATACTTAATAGGTATATTATTTGATATTGGTATATAATTGGATATATCTACATTATCTATACCTACATCTCATTAGATATATCTGTATTATGTATATTTAATAGATGCATCATTTGATGTAGGTATATCATGGTTATGTCTATATTATCTGTTGGCTAAACCTATATTATTGGTATGTAATAGGGATATAATTGGATATACCTACATTATCTAAATTTATATCTCATTGGATACACCTGTTATCTATATTTAATAGCTATGTCATTTGCTGTCGGTATACCATTGGTATACCTATATTGGGTATGTCTATGATTTATATCTCATTGGATAGACATAATATCTATAATTCTATAACTAATAGGGATATCATTGAATATAGGCAAGTCATTGGATATACCTACATTATCTCCATCTATATCTCACTGGATATATATTATATATATAACAGGTATAACACTTGATATAGGTATATCATTGGATATGTCTATTTTCTAGATCTCATTGGATAGACCTATATTATCTATATTTAATAGGGATATCATTTGGATGTAGGTATGTTATCCATACCTATAGCTCGTCTGAGTGAGTGTTTATGAAATGCCCGTGGCTTTGTATAGATGTTTCCTCTCTGCTGGCACCGATCTCACTTCACTGGGTCTTTATAGGTTAATCTATAGAGAGACTGTATAGAGATTGATTTGTGGTCTCCTGCAGAAGGAAGGGGAAGATTGTAAACAGTCTAGGGAGGAGATGCAGTCGGCTGGACTGGGCTGTGCTGCTGCTGTTGGACGTACTGGAAAGCCGCGGTGATGGGCAGATGCAGGGAATGAGGTACTGAGGGAGCAGGTATAAGGGGGTCCAGAGTTCCCTGGCTCACAACATAAGAGCATGCTGCAAAATCAATGTAATCTGGATCCCCTTCCCTTCAAAACCCCCAGCCCTCCCACGTGAGACCCCCACACCAGCCCCCTGGGCACTGGGGCCGAAGGGGTTACAGGAGGTTGGCAGCTGCTCACACATCTGTCAGGCAAGCGGTGGGTTTGCTTGGGCAATCGATGCACAGATCTGCTGGCTGGAGCTGGGGGGCGAGAGCGTGGGAGGGCGTTTGTGCGTGCAGGAGACACAAAGATGATAGCACTGAGCAAGGAAACCCTGAGCTGGGTCCCAGCCTTTCAGCTTCCTTAGGTTGTGGGTAGCAGCCGGTTCCTGAAGCCCAGTGGCTGCCAGGTGCAGCTCCCCGTCCTAGGCAAGGGACTCTCTGAAGACTTCAGGCAGCACCAGCCTTTGCATCGCGATTGATTTGTCTGTTGTCTATGTGTTTTCTAGGCTCTCCGCCTTGCAAGCATGTCTAGGGGCTCCCACTGCCAGCACTAGGTAAGCTGCATTCTGCCTCCACTTTCTCTCTGGTTTGGGGGGCTAAGAGAAGGGCACTGATCTACCCAAGCTAGACTCCATCTCCTCCCCCCAAGCCACTTGGGGGGAAATGTCCCCGATTCCAGATAAACAGGTTGTTCAGGGGCTTGGGGTGGTACAGTGAGGTTGCCTCTCCTCAGGGTTGGCATTTTGCGCGCTGTCTGTTTTGGTCTCCCCTCCCCAAAGAGCTGGGTGGGTGGCTTTGCCAGTCCACAGCCCCACTGCTGCTAGATGTCTCCCCTCTTTTCCCCTCCCCACTGGTTCAAGGCAAAGAGACGTCCCCTCCCAGCCCCTGACAACCCTGTTGGCCCTTCCCCGCGCTCAAGAGGCCAGAGATTAATGACCGCCCAAGCGAATAAAGAGAGGATGCGCTAGCCCGGAGCCATGAATGTCCAGCTGGGCTTGGAGAACACCGGGGACCTGTCGGCCCAGGAGCAGGAACTCATGCAGAGTCAAGGCCGAGCCCTGCATGCCGCGCTCCCCAGGCCCTCGCTGGTGGCCTCAGTGCTGGAGGGCAGCGAGTACCACCGGGCTGAGCACCCCCTGGCCTCCTCGCTGCACCCCGGGCTGGGCTTTGGGGGTGACT